TGCCGCTCTACCTTGAGATGCTTCGGACTTGCGAGCGACGATCCAAGTTCCCGTGACGTGTGTTTGATCATCTGCATCCCCTTCGTTCTCTTTCGACTGAAGGTCCAGAGCTGTTCCTGGAAATCAACCTGTATCCGCAGCTCTGCTCAGTCGCACAGTTTAGTGGATGTCATGTAGAAACTAGCGCCAGCGGAGTCGGTCCAGTTTTATCCATGTTACAGACGCTCCAGGAGGTCGGTTATGACGATGGATGCGGCTTCCAGCGTTGTAGCCTCTACTCGTGCGCGCTGTGACTCCCGACAGATTGACGCTTCCATATCAACAGGGGATCGAACTTTGAACTTCTGACCATTGGGGCATTTTGAGGAACGGCGTCCTGGCTCTTTTTGAGACTGACCCGCTTTCGAGGGCGACTCGCGGTTGTGTCATGTTTGAGCCGAGGTGTGTCTCAGCAAGTATCCCGCGACACTGGACGGCTGCCACAGCGAAGATCCAATGCTTACTGTCAATGCGACCGGGACCTTATTTCGGTGGCCTAGTCCCTAAGTCGTCTGAACTCCAGACGTTGGGAAGCTTTTCCAGAGCCACGGGATTCAATTTCCAGTTTGTACCGGGGAATAACCCTTGCCAGACTCTGGGTGTTCTTCCTCCACGCGTTCCGTGCTCTCCGTGGTTCTTCGCTCACAGCGGTAAATACCCATCGATCGTGGGTTGGCTTTTCACATTAACGGCTGGCCCGCGGTAGGCACACTGTCGTGACGGGATAGATGTGGGCAGCCATGTTGGGCGCCGAGCCTGTATTGTAGTCTTTTAGCACGTGGCATGTCATGGCAGTTGTCGCCACTGGCCAGCGAATCGAAGGTGGTGCAGGCCGAACGGTGAGCTGTGGATATCTTGCCCGTCGTGCGTGGCAGCGTGCTACAGTACCGTACGGGAAAGGCGGTGGCTCCTACACAGTAGGTAGTGAAAGCAGTTTCAATGGGTATCAGTGGGTTCCTGTTCCACTCGGATTCTGGCGACTAGGCCAGGGCTGCCAAGGCACACCCCTCCGCCATGGACCGGACATGGTGGAGGTCGGACGGAGACAAGGGTAGGGATTTGGCAAGCCCAGGTAGGTCAGGCCAGTCCCTGGCTTGTCCGTTAAGCAGCGGGCGGGTTGTCCAGGACTCCAGACGTGGTTCGTTGCGACGTTGTTGAAGAAGAAGCTGCAGAAAACCCCGGGTGGCCAGCAGACCGTCTGCCATGGCTCGAGTTGCTTGATTAAATTGGGTTAATATAACTCAGGGGATAGCCGACTTTGCGAGTCTGCATTGGGGTGGTGAACTGCAGGTGTTGGTCTCAATCATGCTCGCGAGGATGAGGGACTGAGTCAAAATCCCGACGGCGATGAAGAGGCAGAGTCTGGTCGGGCGGGTACGATGCGATGCGGTGCGGGAACAGAAACGCAAAGAAGTCAGATGCTCCGAAGCCGAGAAGGTATCCTCCCTGGATGCTTGATTTTGCTTCCGCTCCGGAGAGTTTTCCCCCCCCCCCCCCTTCTTCGTGTTTTGACTCTTTGTTTTTTTTTTCCCTTCCTCTATTCCGAGCAGCCCATGTCGCAGTACGACATGCATCGAGGGCTCAGTTGAAGCACAAGGCCGGAAGTGCCGCCAGTGCCCACAGCGGTCCGGGACCAGGCTGATAATTTATCGATAATGGAGACGATGTGCGGCGACGGCCGAAGACTTTTAAAATGCTGGAGAGTCGAAACAGATTATGACAAGGAGCTGTACCGAAGGTTGGCCAAAGAACGGCCTGGTCACAATGCGATCCCTCACTCTGATTGTACTTTGTGTGTGCATTATGGGTCGGACACGGACGGGAAGACCGAATTTGAACCGACAAACTAGGAGGAAAAGGACGATCGTAGGCTCGCCGTGGCGATTGTGCCTAGCAAGCTGTAGAATTCTCATGTGCAGACAAGTCTAGACGAAAGGCCACTTGCAAGATATGGCGATCGCTCTGTTGTTCCAAGGAACCCATGGAGAGAGGAAGGGGAACGATGCAGGCGGGTCTGGCGATGGACTATCGATATTCCTCGTACGGGTACGGTACGGTCTTGGAGGCTGAATATAGAAGTGGGCGTGTAAGAGTGAGTGGGCTGGCGGTTGATAACTTTTGACGATTTGATGATGTTGGGCCCAGTTTGCTTCGGTGAGAGTGGCGGGGTTGCTAACACACATGGATCCGACCCGAGGAACGCCATGTACGAGGTTGGAAGACGGTAGACCCAAGCAGCAAGCTAGATTTCAATGGAGAATGTCGGTAGGCAATGGGAGATGAGAAATGACATGGGACGGCGATGGCGATGGCAATGACAGGCCACAGGATGATGGCAGAGTGATGATGGATCAGGCCAAAAAAGGGCTGGACGATGGGTGCTGGTGAGCCTTCAGCAGCCAGGTAGCTTAGGTACGATGCAATGTTGGCTAGAACATCCGAATGGAGAAGGAGCACATATTGAGCCGTGTTGCCGCGCCTGCCTCACCTGAGGACGCCCACCTTCCCGTGATGCCCTGTCATTGACTTGCTCAAATCTGGATGGAAGGTACAGGTTCCTACCTTCCTGCTTACCTACCTATCTACCTACCTACGTGCCTGCCTGCCTTGACCAACGGGACTGGTGAGGCTCGGAAGGAGCACCCAGGAGGTAAGATGACCACCTCACTTTCATATGTGAGACGGAAGATTAGGTAAGACAAGGAAGGTACCTGGGAATCTGGCTTCCAATTGTCTGTGTGCCTGGGTAAGGTAGGCACTTTCCCATGTCTTAGCTTCCCGTCGGTTTGGTGGATGAGCGCGGGGCTGCTCGGGTGCGGCAAGTCAACCTAGAAGGCACCTCCCCCAGTGCCGTAACGGCTCTCCTGCCAGACTGCTTGACTGCGTGACTGCCACCTTAGGTAGTCTTGACAGTCGGTGGTCTCTCGACTTGGAGAAGGTACGGGGTAGGTAGATACCCAAGGTACTCCGTACCTGAAGTGCCTTATCTAAGATCATGGAAGTCTCCAAGGTACGGCATCCGGAACATTCCATGGTCTTTCGCGTGCTCACAGCTCGACTGCCGCATACCTTGTTCCCACCCACCATCGACATCGACGACGAGAATTCGGCCAGAAACGCATTTCCCATGACCAGGACTAGGCCGGTTTACACTTCAGTCGGTACGGAGTACGGATACTAGTCAGCTAATTACCTCGCCGATGAACCCTACCAAGACCTCAACACCTGACAAGAGAAAAAAAAGAAAATAGAAGAACAACTCGGAACAATAAAAAATGGCCAGGTTCTCCCATTCGGACGTCGGACAATCCCAATCCAACTTAATGAAATGCTCCGAGAGAAACACCCCAGACCCGGTTTGATGCTGGCCATCTCGGACACAATTTGCGCTCCGACTGGGGTTCTGGGGCAAAGCCGCAAAACATCAGGGAAAAAACTCCCCGGTGCATCTTTTCCGACACCTTGCTCATCCCTCGCTGACTGTCAAGCTTACTCAGGCTCTTTCATCAGGCCGTTCTGCACTCCGTTCAGACAGATACCAGCCACACATCGTCACTTTTTGTCGTCACACCCAAGCCAGCTCAACCATGCTCCCAACCACCATCACCACCACCGTAGACACCATCGACACCGGCCATTGCGGCCGCACGCCAACATTCACCTACCTCAAAGACTCGAAGCTACTTTGCCAAGCCATGCTTTCGTAGCAGCCAGCAATGCAGCATTCGTCATGGACTTTCCGTCCCCTCTCCCGATGTCACTTGCCATCAAAAATAGCTTCCTCGCCGTATGGATACAGAGTACGAGTACCTACTAGGGACTACGGTCCACGGATGCAGATGCAAGCACCTCCCCGGCACTCTCACTCTGCCCGAACGAGCCCTACCGGGAACCTTGGGGTGCATTCATCTCGTCCAATTTCCAGTCGCTGCCGACAACGAGCTCTGAATCGTGCGCCAACGGCCACGACCCCCAACTTTCTCCACCTCACCTGAATTCCTAACAAACCTCACCACTCGGCCGAGTACTGAATTATCTGCACGACGGGGGGTCGTCAGCCTGGCTCGCTGCTCACATCCTGCAATCAATTAAACACCGCTGCCGCCTTTGCCTGCCTTGCCCTGCACCTGTCGACTCCTCACAGGAAACCTATCTTTCTACCACGCTCCAGCCTCCAATCACTTTGTCATTCTACTCCCTACCCACGGTACGGAGTAGTATGGGTTACAAAGTGCCCAGGCAAACAGGGTTATCCGAGTCCGATAGTCCGATTGACCTTGGTCACCATCAAGACGAGCATCATGAGGTACTCCGTACCCATGGCCAAGCTCTACCTTTTGGCTCGATCATTTTGTACGGCGACGACTACGCGTACGTCCACCTCAACAACGCTCACGCCCCCAGGTCCGACCTAACCCTTGCATGGGCAAGGACGAAGCCCCAGGTCTAGGTCTCGGCCCAGGCTCAAAGATTCCTGGCCCTGCCAATACAACGGGTCCCCTGTCAAACTTGTCATCCCATCTTTTTTCTCCGGTACTCGATTTCCCCGACCCGCGGCACAACAAGTCGCAGCCTCTAACCGTCGTCGCCAAGCCCCATGTCGGGCTCGCCCTCTAGAATCTGCCCTGGATCATTTCCCCACCGCTCTCGCAGTCCGAAGCCTCGCCACAACGCCCTGTGCGCAAAGGACCTCGAATAGTAGCCCTGATATCCTGATCTTAGCTATCATGGCCGAGAGTACCCCTCCATTCGTCAGCTCGTCAGTTGACTGAATACCTTGCGGGGTATGCCTTGTTCCGGTAGAAGAGCTTCGTCACGGATCGAGAAGGAACCCCTCGCGATGTCTTGCAGCGTCTGTACGACTCTGTTACGAATACGGCTACATCTCGCTGACGTTGCACTTTTGGCATTTCCGGAAAACGCACTAACGTCCTGTCCACCAATACCAGAATTCATCTTCGTCAGTTGCCTAGGGATGCAAAGGCACTGAACGGCTGTCTGAGAACTGGCAGAAACAGCGATTGGGGAGGACGATGGGTCGGATTCGAGGCGGCAGTCAAACCCACCAGGCGGGCTGGCCAGTCTCGAGGCATCCAACCCATAAACTATTCAGACGAACCGGTCGCCTTTATTCATGCAATATCCCCTCCGATCTGACCTACCCTATTACCCCACCTAGAGAATAGCGCTGGGTGAAACATTACAAGCGCCCACGGACTCCAGACCAAGCCTGTCAAGGCTTTCTTGTCAATGTCTCTTTACACTCCACGAAGACTCGGGCTGCTACAAAGCATCAAGTAGTACCTACCGTCTCTCTCTTGGGTGTCCAAAAGGCGTGGAGGTGGTTCCTGCGACGACTGAAGTTGACGGTGTTCAAGGCAAGCGGCAACTTGAGTCGCAAACTTCAAGCCAACTTGATGCAACTGAGCCGAAATGGTAACACCGCTAGCGGTTCTGCTGTCTTGCAGATACCGTCTTTCAGGTTGACCGCCATTCACCCGAGTCAAGCAAATGACAAGGGCTGTCGCCTTGTCAGGTATTTGTTCTCCATCGCGACCTGCGTTGTTTTTTCCCGCTCTTGTTTTGTCCACTTGCCTGCCCTAGGGTAGGTACCCGTACGGATACCGCCCAGTTGAAACTTACTTCTTTGACCCATTGCAATACTGCTCAAACCTCACAGGAAGCAGTGTACCGGAGTGGGTAGGGCCAATGCATGATAGAGGCGCGACGTTCACACGGGGGATATCTTCTACTTGCCACGGACCTCTTTGTGATCCCTCGCAGCTAAGAGTTCATCCATACCTGTGCACGCGATCAGGGCAAGCGTCATATGAGCAAGATTCATGCGCAGCCTTGATGCAACCAGCCGGAGAATTTCTCGCGTCCCAGGAGCCGTCTGAACCTGGACAGCGATGAAATACCTGGCCATCCTATTATTCTGATCAGACGTTCCTAGCGCCACGGTTCTAGGGCGATTCGATTTTGGAAGCCGGACTACGGAGTACCAGCAGCAATGGGCTGCTGTACATGATCCGTATCCGTACTGCGTACAAAAGGAGTCTGGGATATAGTCGACAATGGAACCTTCAAGGACTTGGTGGCGGTCGCTGTAACAGTGTCTGTTACGGTCTCGCTCATAAAAGGCTCAATAACAGGGTCCATGCAGCGACCCTGAGGTTGTTGTATGACGGATACAGAAGCCAATACGACGGCACTTGCGGGCGACGCTGCCGAAAAGGGCCTTCGCCTAATCAGCTACCAGTACCGGCCAGCTGGGAATAGCGACAGGTTCACACACGCTACGGTCCTGCTTGCCTGCCGTATCATGATGCAGATCGCCCGAAGGTGCCCCGCCGCCCCATTGCGAGCACCGAAGACGAGATGCACTAGTTCTGACGGAGGCGCCAATGCCAGTTGCGAAATCACTAGGTATTATCCTTCCTGACGATACGGGACTCGGGAGACGTCAAGAGCGCTAGTTATTACCTACCAACACTGTGATTGGAGAATCGCAGTCCTTCAGGTATTGATTCTTACCCACTGGCAGGTGTGCCTACTAGGGAATACATGGGGTGAGCCTCATTTAGGTTTGTGGTGACATCCTTGTCATCTTGGTTGGCTGAGAAGATGGGACGAATTTAAAATTGAGCAACAAGGGACTGCGAAGAGGGGCCTGGGGAGGTTGGTACCGAATGGCCCCGTGTCGCTACAGTATACAGGGAGGTTTGAGCCGATCTTCATGCTTGCTGTCCTGCAGCGGAATCCTCAAACCCGGGCCCCTATATCTGATCTCACCCTGGTGATAATACCCAGAACTGTCTGCAGGAGGCGGTCAACTGACTTCTCATGGAACGCACGTCACATGATGGCTCACGGTCGAGATGGGTGAGCTACAGTGTACTTCGAAAAAAGATGTAGGCCGAGTCTTTCGGCCTGCGCGCAGGTGGCTGCAGTGCGATGCTTCCTGAAGCTCCCAAGAACACGATATCCCTGATGTCAAGCTAGATATTGCTTCAAGCTTGCGGGCTCAGAGGTCGTGCTGTGCGTTGGGAAGGGGCCCCACGTCGTCATGGGTGCTCGGAGAGACCGTTAATTGCCTGCACTAAGGCCTATCCACGACGAACTCTCCGAAAACTTCAGATTGATGGACTCGTGGGGTTCGGGCCAAAAGCGCGCTTATCAGACGCCAAAGCACCTCATCAGTGTCATTTGATGTTGCATTGAGAGCGGTTGCGCCGAAATCCCAGGACTGCGGCCTGCCACCAACATCCGTATCAACAAAGTTTGCTACGGATAGGCCGCCTTTTTGAGACAAGCAAAATGATAAGTCCTGCATCGACCGAGCGAAAGACGAGGAATATCCATTTCGTCAATAACGATGGGCAGAGCGCAATGCCATGCTGGGGTCCGGACAGAAACATGACGCACATCCGACTTCACCAGCGTCTAGACTTGGCCAGGAAGCCTTTGCTTCGTAGACCACTCTTTTTCTTTCATGGTCGTACACTGTCCATACCCGGCCACGAACGGTTCATCATTCAAATGCAGTTCCTATACGTACGAACGGGCCAGCATGACCATGGCTCGAATGCCACTGGCAAACTTGCCAGAGTTCTCTCTCTCTCACTCTCAAACTCTCTGTCAAACTCTGGACTGTTCGGTCCGTGATTATCATCCCGCGCGCGCATGGGCGGTGGGGATGTTACGAATGCCTGCGACGGCTCCACCGTCCTGACATGCGCATCTGAATTCTGATGACCTGGCTGGCTACAATTGCGCCCGGCCAAGGGACCAGCGGGAAGGAAAATATCGAGTCCTGCCAGACAGACATCAGACGAACCTTTAAACCCTTGTCTGACGCCGCAGATTCACCCGAGCCGCGTTGGATGTGCTTGCAGACGATACTTACTCGGTGCCCCCCCCCCCCCCGCCCTCCGGCTCTCAAGAGTACCTGTACATACAACTGACAATAGTGCCCGCCCGCTGCAAGGGAAGCTCTCAAGTTCTCTCTGCATTTACAACCCGGCTGGTTGGCATTGGCGCCCTGCTCCCATGCTTACCCCTCTTCAGGTTCATCCCATTCCCTGGCAGAACAAAATGACGCGACCCATTCGGTCGAGCGATCCCCTCATGATCGTTCGCAAGGTTACCACATCGGACCAAAATGGGGTAGTGGGCGGATTGCCAAAGGATCTTGCGCTGCCACGGATATACGAAGAATCGTGGGTCTCGCGGCTGCACGGCAGTCGGAAACCCAGCTGCCAACATCTTGAAGCACCATCTGTCGCGAAGACGATTTCCCCTACCGGGCGGTCAATGCGACGTAGACAAGCTATCGAGACCAACTCACCACGCAAGACGTATTCACAGTAGTTTCTCTGAGACGAATGGACAGTCGAAGGCGTCCGGAACGACCCTGATCATTTCCTTTGAATCCTCGCAATTGCAGCGGCTTCGAGTCGGTCTGCGCTGAATTACGCCTTAGTTTGCAAGGGTCTTGGAAACCGGAGATGCTGAGTGGAAGCCGGCTGGGCTCCGCGTTGATCTCATTGGCAAACCCTGTCGGCGAACCGCATCGGACAAGATCTCAACTGAGCAATGATTTTGACGATTCGAGGCATTTTGGCAACGTGGCCACGGTGGCTAGATACATCAGGTCATATTCATCAAGCATTGCTTGATACCCAACCGTGCCAACCAACGGCCTGTCCATCGAACCCCCCCCCCCCCCCAGGACCGGTAACCTGAGAGGCAATCGCCGTCCAGCCTCGGGGCACCGATGCCCGGCTTCCACGTCATCGCATCGGTCCCTGCCGACGAGGCTGAGGGTCTGCACAATAATCGGACACACTGACCGTAACTTGGTTCCAAATGATCTCTGAAAATCATGGCCCAGGGCAATATCAGAGTTGGACAAAGAAGCGAAGTTAGGAAAGAGGTTCGATACCAAGAAGCAACCTTTTAATTTCTCATTTCCACATGGCTCCGGTACTTTGATATAGCTGCCCCAAGATCTGCCGCCATCGTTCTTGTTAGTGTCCGGGCAGACGCGCAATGGCAGATGGCAGCGGACCTAGAGGCTAGAGCCAAAGAACGGCAGTCCCTTGATCAGTAGAGTTGGGCTAGCCAGCTCGACTGGTCGTCAAAATTGCACACTTCAGCCACAGCGACAGACTTCCTAGGTACTAGCCCGAGCGGGTGGCGGAGGCCATGGCAGAACTATTGAGCCGCCCGGCTGGTATATCGATAATAAACCCGGATGCTCGAGCTAGTCTTGATACCTCGTTATTCTAAAAGTCCCGAGAGAGATCAAGAACCGCCTTGATGATGATGATGATGATGATGGGGGTTCTAGCGCGCGCGATCCGAGCTAGATCATTCATTTCCCGGATTCCGTAGTCTTCGGAGAATAAAGAGCCGTCGAAAGGGAGGGATAATTATTTTGTCATGAAAAAAATCCCGACTGCAACGGCGCGAGGCTGCTCCCGGCCGTCGTCACCCGGACCCGTTGATTATCTTCAATAGTTCCGGACCTAGCGATGCGAACCCAGCTCGGGTGCACGCCTGGCGCCTGCTGGTACGGGGCCTCGCCTCACGGCTTGAAGTGTAATGCACATACCCAATGCGCAACTCCTTGAGGTTCTGCGATGACGGCTGAGCTTATTTCATGCCTTTCATTGACCTAGTCGAGCGCAAGACGTGGTTTTAGCACCTTTGGCATGCTCAAGAGTCTGTCTGTGCTAATACGAGCTTCCCATTTCCCCGCTAACAAACACCATGCAGGTTTCGGTCAAAGATGGCATGATGATGGTCTCGAAGCATGAAGAACATTGAGATGGAGCCTCTTCAGCCTACTCTCCAACTGGTTTCATCTTCACGCCCTCTCTATCGAGGAAGTTACCATCTCGGAGACTTTGTCCTCATCTCCATCTTTCTCTCACGAGCCTCTCCGCTCGACTTACACTATCGTCAAGCCACCTCCGCGCGACGGCGTGGCCAGCATGGCAATACAACGGGCAGGATTCTACCCATGGAAAAGGAACGGGACATGGCGTGCGAAGGGGGGAAACCCAACCCCCAAGGAGAAAAGTAAAAAAATTCTCCGTAGCACATTGTCCCCCAGAGTTCCCACGCCCCTTTTTCTTTCCATTTTTTTTTCCTCTTTCTCTTCTCCGTGTAACAGAGAAGGATAGCACCATCCTGCGGAACAAGGAGATTTCGCTAATCGAGTCCCAGTAGATTCTCCGTTATGTCGTGGCACACGAGCGGAGGGGATCAGACGGTGTAGAATAGAGGGGGAGGGGGGTGTACGCCATGTAAGTCGTTGTGTACAGAGCGCTCGTAGTTGTCAAGTTGACGGCGTAACGGAACGGGCGCTGTGATGAATACTACCCAGCACTGGCCGGGCGATTTCCTCCCCTTGCTCTGCGTTAGCTTTTTGTTCGTGGCAGCTGGAACTTGTTCTGTGTCGGGGCTTACACGGATCAGGCACCGGTGGTGGTGGTGATGGTGTTCGGCATTGCCTGCCACCAGGTCCTTCGAGGGCGTGGTGTATGGTGCCTGGCCCAGGGAGGCCTCATTCGTAGTGTAGAACAAA